AAAAAAAAAAAAAAAAAAAATTAAAAAAAAAAAAAAAAAAAAAAAAAAAAAAAAAAAAAAAAAAAAAAAAAAACAAAAAAAAAAAAAAAAAAAAAAAAAAAAAAAAAAAAAAAAAAAAAAAAAAAAAAAAAAAAAAAAAAAAAAAAAAAAAAAAAAAAAAAAAAAAAAAAAAAAAAAAAAAAAAAAAAAAAAAAAAAAAAAAAAAAAAAAAAATAAAAAAAAAAAAGACAAAAAAAACAAAAAAAAAAAAAAAAAAAAAAAAAAAAAAAAAAAAAAAAAAAAAAAAAAAAAAAAAAAAAACAAAAAACAAAACAAAAAAAAAAAAAAAAAAAAAAAAAAAAAAAAAAAAAAAAAAAAAAAAAAAAAAAAAAAAAAAAAAAAAAAAAACAAAAACAAAAAAAAAAAAAAAAAAAAAAAAAAAAAAAAAAAAAAAAAAAAAAAAAAAAAAAAAAAAAAAAAAAAAAAAAAAAAAAAAAAAAACAAAAAACAAAAAAAAAAAAAAAAAAAAAAAAAAAAAAAAAAAAAAAAAAAAAAAAAAAAAAAAAAAAAAAAAAAAAAAAAAAAAGAAAAAAAAAAAAGACAAAAAAAATAAAAAAAAAAAAAAAAAAAAAAAAAAAAAAAAAAAAAAAAAAAAAAAAAAAAAAAAACCAAAAAAAAAAACAAAAAAAAAAAAAAAAAAAAAAAAAAAAAAAAAAAAAAAAAAAAAAAAAAAAAAAAAAAAAAAAAAAAAAAAAAAAAAAAAAAAAAAAAAAAAAGAAGAAAAAAAAAAAAAAAAAAAAAAAAAAAAAAAAAAAAAAAAAAAAAAAAAAAAAAAAAAAAAAAAAAAAAAAAAAAAAAAAAAAAAATCAGTTAATCTACGAATATGTCAGTGTGCAAGGTTTGCAGATAAAATGAGGTTTGTGAATTTGTTAGTTAGAGTCAACGGTGCGGTGCTAGTGCTGTTGGGGGAGGGTGGAGAGAGAATTATCGACCATCAAGCCAAGATTTCTATCCTGCCCCCTCTATCGCTTCCCCGCGCCATCGCGACATTTTTAAATGAATACGAAGAAATATACGTATAAAACAAGAAGATAAGAATTAACCATAATAGATCATATAATAAAAGTAAAAAAACGAGCAAATCCAATCAATTCAATTTTTTGAGAAAAAAAATATTCCGAAACGCAACATTTATAAATAATCCTATATTTATAAAATTAGAAAATGAAGCAATTCAGAATTTTAGAAATAGACCGCGAGCATTAAAAAAAATTCAGAATTAATATTATAATTGTATATAAAAATTTTCGCGTATACGTACCAAACCTACGACCAACTAATCCAGAAACCTACGCGCAACCATTCGAAACATAAAATACCATTGAAAATAATGGGTTGCCAAACTACAAGCCCCCCAGCCTCCTCTTCCATATTATAATATATGAAATAATATTATTAAATGATATTTTGGAATTCTTAATTCATAATTATAAGAATAATAAATTTTCAGCTAAGAAATTATTATAATGAATTCCGAATCGTATAATAATCGTCCATAAATTATAAGAAATCTATATCTTCTTCGAATTTTCGATAAAAGAATACGAATGAATGATATAGAAATATGACAATATGACTACAATTTTATTAATATACTAGAGAATCTATCGAATCTATATTTCTAGTCTCGATTAAGTTTAACGAGAATATAAATCGAATATAGAGCGTTTAATTGAAATCGTATCATTTAAAATTATGACAAGAAGGTGCAATTGCATCTATTTAGGAAATTATTTTATATACATATGATAGTATTCGATATTATATTGTCGTAGGATATAATCATTTTCTGCCGTTATTCGCTAGAAAGCGTATATAATCAAAATCCTCCGTTCGAGTTTCCATATCAATTTCGCTCATCGACCGCCCCGACAGATTAGCACTTACGAACCGATATACCGTAAGGACCCGTACAAGCATGATGGATCTGCACATACAAACTGACTTATATACAAAATTCGCACGTTGACTCCATATTAGTCATGAGTAGCTGTATATTTGTATGCAACTGCCTGCAGATGATGAAAAATGGTCGAACGTCAACATGACTCATCTTATTAATGCGAACACAGGCTAGAGATCAGGGCCGTCACAACTTCTCAATCCCGAAATGGCAAACAGTTAAACGCTACTGCTGATGGACAAAATCCTGCATTACCCATTCTAAGGAATATACCATAGTTCCCATAGTTTAGAGTCCTTAGGGTCATGCAGGATTTTGTCCATCAACAGTAGCAGTGCCTGGAGCAAATGAAGCCGGGAAGTTGGTCTTTCCTCTTCATGTCCTCGCGCACAATCATCATTCGGCAAATAGCGACAGGAGCCCTGATTTCGAGCTCCTGTTCTCCTTCCTTCACCGCCATCCCTGAGGCATTTCCGGAAATCTTGCAGCTCTGCTTCAGACTGAAGACTGCAAGATTGGCCAGAGCGGCTCTTCTGATGAAGGCTCTTATTCACTCCTCATCATCCTTCGGAAATGCCCCAGAGGATTGCTCGAACAGTCGCTGCTTCAGCTTACTTCTGCGCAAAGTGTCCAGACTGACACATGAGATCCGCAAAATACCTGCGAGGGATACTAGAATGTCGCGATTTGTGCTTAGGCTTCAGGACTTCGTTGGGAGAACAGGGTAAGCCACAAGTCACAGAATGTTACATGATAAGACTTGCAGTACAACGACAGCAAGTAGGACTTGCCTTCAGGACCCAGTGGACCTGAAATGGTATGGGGTGGGTCCGTGAGGTGCCGTGCAGACTGCTACCGAAGTGCTACGAGAGGAAAGCTTCAGGAAGCCATCCTGCTGTCGCAGTATCACCCAAAGCCAAAACAGCACTGCTTAGCGGTTCATGGTACTTAGTAACTAGGGTTAAAAATGAGGTAACTTTACATAAAATTGGTTGTATATCCCCAGTTTAGGTGCTTATAACTGTACTTACCAAGTCCCATGAACCTCCAAGTAGTACCCTAAACCCCAAAGATCCCTTTATGGTACAGTACCCTATAGATCCCTTTAATGAGCCTTTTTAAGGAGCTCTTTAAGTACTTACTAAGTCCCATGAACCTCCAAGTGCCTCCATGGACGCCAACCATCATGAACCCAATCTCTTCCCAGAGGCTAACATATCCCTGGAGCGGTGGTCCCTTCTTCAGACCCCTTGAACCGGAGGTACATTTCTTACACATTAATGTAGGGGCCTCAATAGGTAGAATAAGGTTTTGGGCTCCTTTATACTATAATAAGGAACCCTAGGAACACTGGTGGTAATTATTTCAACCGGTGTACTTAGTAAGCCTGAAACTTGCCACCTGAAGCTCTGAATGTGCCCTACGCCCCGTATACCCGAAGCCGCGAGTCATCTCACCCTTTTGCCCCTACTTGGAGGGTCGGGGGACTTAGTAACATAATGGGTTCATTAAGGGCCGGGATTCTGTAAGGGTTTAGGGTTTAGGGGACTTAGCAACTCGTTTTTTTGGGACTTACAAGTACCATAACCCCAATTAGGGTCCCTTTTAGGGTACTTATAAGTCTACTTACTAACTACTTACTAAGTCCCCCGACCCCCAAGTTATGTTCTAAACCGCAATTCTGGGAACCCAGACACGAGCCGGTTTAGGGACCCAAAGAGCCCAATACCCCTGAATTAAGGAATACCCAGGGCCTAGGGTTCCTTTAACGGGATCCTTTAAAGGGATCTATAGGGTTTAGGGTTTAGGGAATTCTAATCCCCTTAATTAGGAATAAACCTTGAATGAAAGGGGGCTTAATATTATGATGATTTTTATTGGGGCTAATTCTTGTCTCAGCCTCTGCACACGATCTGCCAAATGTGGCTGAAGGCGATGCTTGGCAGCAAAGTCTTGGGCCACCTCGCACGGAGGGGTACGGTGGATGATAAAATCCCAGGGTTCCTTTAAAAGGATCTATAAGGGTACATTGAAGGGGCTCCTTTAAGCGACCTATACGGAGTTTAGGGTTTGGGGTTGATGATAAAAAACCCTGCATTACCTTCACGGCCCTAAATTATGGGAATCATGGTATATTCCTTAGCATGGGAAATGCAGGATGTATATCATCAACGGTAGTATAAGGGGCTGCCTTTTTTATGGGTTCTGAAACAACGGATGTTTTGAATTTGGGGTTTCCGGTGTCGGGTTCAGGAACGCATGATTGAGCTGTTGTCGGCTTGAACAGGATGCGTGTTGATGTTATGAGTTTGGGTGCTTTGCAGAGTTCATCCCTGCCTTCCTTGACAAACCCGGGTTGAGCTGCAACGCAACCTCAATGCCCTACATACTAAACCATGCCAGCAGAGGGGCTGGCAGAGTCGCTATACTGACAGCCTGTGAACTCCCTAGAAAAGGATCCGTACTTCTGTGTAAACCAAGAATGACGAACTACTTGTAACAACCCCTTGGCCTTATATGATCACAACAATGCGACAAGGACTGCCCGGTTTTTCAGAATGTCCTGCGCACCTTGGCGATATCATCACCGGCATAGAGCGCCACCTTTTGTGGCGGTTGGTCCTGCTAGACGCTAGGCTTCTATTCTCGCTTGAAGCTTGCACGAAGTTTAGGGTTTACGGCCTCGAGTTTTGAGTTACGTCATTCCTGTGGGCCACCCGAGCTCTCCTACAAGCTGACGCCTCCCCCCACTCTAAGATGTGAGGCTGTTCGGGGTCCAATATCTTAGCTGTTGAGGAACGTGCCGGGAACCAGTATATCTCTTGATGGGTTGGTTGTGTTGAAAAAGGAAAGCGTGCATGCTCTTTAAGTTTTGTTATAAGCGGAAATCGACAAACCAAAAGCAGAACAACCTAGATTCTTGATTCCGAATGGAGCAAACGGGAAACCGTCAGTAAAATGGCTGCACGAAGATCCGCCAAAAGGTCCGGATTTGCAGCATACCGTTTCGCATGTAGAAAGGGGTTGTGCTAGAGGCGCAGTGGCAGTAGGAGGGTTTGCAAGTCTGCCACCGAGCTAAATACTCACATTGATTTGTGATGGGACCTTCATCGAAACGCAGCAAGTACACTGCCACGTTTGTGGTTGCCATCATGTGATTCGGCTTCAAAGATCTCAGGTGCCCTGGGGGCAGGTTATCGGGTTCAGCGGTTCTGCGTTCACGGATTTGGTTTTAGGGATTTGGGGCTTCACGCTGCGCTTTACGGTTAGGCGAGTAGGGACGGCGCGCGCTTGCCTTGGAGATTCCGGATGTTCAAGTCAAGCAGGAACAGTAGATTCGGTGATCATGGCTTCTAACTGGGGTTGTTCTACGTAGGGCCCTGCATTCTGATAGTCCGGCCGTATTGAAATGTCCAGTTTCCAGAACATGTAGCTCAAAGAGAGCCTGCCTGCAGATGCAATAACCTACTGCTCAAATTGTTCTACCCTGTAATAAGCAATTAAGGGGGAATACCCCTTGCTTTGTAGGGTTTGGGGCAAAGGTCAGTGTAGGCCTCAGTGTGATACAATGATGGAAGGGTCTGCTTCAATCTGGAACAGCGACTGGGAAACGGGTGACACTCTAAACCCTAAACCCGTGTGCCCAGAAGCATCCACAGAGATCCCAATACCCCTTAATTAAGGAATATACATTAAATCATATTAGGGATCCTACTGTAATTTAAGGTATATTCCTTAATTAAGGGGTATTGGGATCTCTGGGTCGATCCTTGGTGATGCTCACCTCCACCAAAACCACGGGGCGACGTGGTTCTGCCCAGTTGCCCTGCAAGGCCCTTCAATCCTAAACCCTGCAAAGCCCTCAGCCTCCCTAAACCCGTAAACCTTCCCTAAACCCTACGGGTTACTTCGGGGCACAGTACTTATAGCACTTGAGGGTGCAATGACCGGAAACCCCCGATGTCCTGAAGCCGCAGCCCTTACTCTACAGTAGAAGCCAGAAAGTTTATCCTCAAGCCCTTAGGGTAAAGTGTAAGGGATCCTAGAAGTAATCCTCATAAAGCCATGTTCCAACTTTGTAACTTCTACTGTAGTGCTTTTTAAGGCTTCGGCATTTGTTCAGGGTCATTTAGCGCTCTGGGTTAGGCTTAGAGAAAGGGTGGCATGCGGGCGCTCCTTAGATGAAGGATCTCTGCCAGGAGCCCAAGACGCAAAAGCAGAACCACACTTAGGAACATCAGCAGTGTTCGGAGCATTCATGGTTACATAGACATACCAGTATCATGATCGTCATCATCACTAATCATCATCATGCGATGAACAGAGCAGACTGCATGAGCTAAAGCAGTGAGGAACTGTCCTTTGGGCAGGGCGTGAAACGTGCGTCTTCCTCATAGGTAAGAACCGATGTCCAACACGGCAAATGCAAAGATTACTTGGCTGACTTCTGAACGCCTCCTAAACGCTAAATTCTAATCCTCCTTAAGAAAAATCATAAAAAAGTTAAAGTCCTAAGAGCCAACCAGAAGAACGCCAAGATTACGTAGACGTGGAGGATGGCTCGTAAATCGTCAAGATGAAGGCATGTCGAGGCCCGGAGTCGTCCGTGGGTTCTGCTAGATTCCTCAACAATCCCTGGAAGTCCTTTACCTACGCCCCCAAAAGTAAGTAAAATAATGGCCCAAAACCTATAAAAGGCTATTATTCTACACACTTTTGGGGTCCAGGTAGGGTGTATACGGTCTCGGATTGAAGGGCTTAGGGATTTGTGTTGAGCGTCCCATTTCCGTCTCGTACAAGGTTTAGCCGTCAGGGCTTTCGGCTTTATATGGCTTCAACAGCTTGTCGCGCACATGACGCTCGCGGAGCTGGATTTAGTACTGCAGCCGGCACCCACTCAAAAATTCATTCTCCCAGTTTCAGTGTATGGAAAGTGCGCGACATCTGGCGAATGTGGCGGTGCAAACCGGGTAGGGCCGGTGCATCTGCATGAGATTTCTTCTTCTGGCCCCTTCGCCCCTATGTCCCATGTATACACCTCAGTCTCCCACCCCCAAAAGCAACTGAGGTCTTCTGGGATTTCGGGAGACTTCGGGGTTCAGGGTCTCAACAATGCTTAGGCCCGCTGCGAAGGACGTCTATCCTGATCCTGAATTGAACAAGCCAGCCCATACTCCTATCATAAAAACTCCGACCCAGACCCCCGGGAGGATCTAGAAAGTAGATCCCCTAATTTGGGGCCCTATACTTCTAAGGGTACTTAAGGGATCTACTTTTTGGATCCTCCCGGGGTCTGGGGAAGGAGCGAACCTCTCCAACACCCTCCAGCCAAAAATCCCCAAGAAGCGCCTGAACCCTAAACTAAACCCAAAATAAACCCTCCGCCCGCCTTTGGCGATGGTTGAGGAATGGTCCTCGGGCGTAGGGTTTTTTGCTGTACTGTTCTGGGGCCGCAGGAGCGCCCTACCGACCAACATGTACCCATAACAGAACCATTCAGAATCTGAACCCCACTATACCCTAGAAAGACTTGTCTACCCTTTCCGCCCGTATGGTCACCAGAAGTACTCCATCGAGGACGGTTGGTGTTCATGGCAGGACTATAAGTTTGGGGGACCCTGCGACCCAAACAACCCTTAACACATGGAGGGTGCCGCCATAGCCAAAGGGGGGGAAAGCTGCTGAATGAACAGCTTATAAGCATGACGAAAGACCCTAAATCGAAGAACCATGTTAGATCTGCTAAAAGACACCAAGCAAAACCTGGTAAAGGAACATGTAACCCCTTAGAAAGACACCATCTAAAAAGTGCCTTGTAAAACGGGTCTGGGCATGTTAACATGGGAACTTTCCTGTAGGCTCATACCCTACCCCTTGTTGGTATACCGAGTTTTATAGTTGGGATCTGTTATATAGAGTATTAGGTAACTTAAAACAGGGGTAGGGTATGAGCCTCTAGGTTAATTAGTCATGCCTGTATATTAGACACTAAGCCGCTGAAAGCCCTCAGCTTCCGAAATCCGAAGCTGGCCCCGATGCTAAGGATAAAGGTAGTAGCCCTTTCCCAGAAGACTTTCAAGGAACGCTTAAAGGAAGACTGAAGTAAATCGTATGTCCTCTAAACCCTAGAAGAACCATCCGTGCTCTTCCCCTCCCCTGCAAGAAGAAGTTGTTTGCAAAGAGTCTCCTGTCCCTTTGCAGCTCTCGCTGCTTTACTTGGAGGTTCATGGGACTTAGTAAGTACAGTTATAAGTACCTTAACTGGGGATATAACCAATTATGAGTATAGTTACCTTCTTTATAACCCTAGTTACTAAGTACCATGAACCTTTAAGTAGACCCTAAACCCTAAATGGAGCCCTATTATGGAACCCTATAGTACCCGTAAAGGACCCTAGTTACTAAGTACCATGAACCTCTAAGTGAGTTTGCCTGACTGACCCCAACTTTCAACTTTCCGGCGCGGATCAGAGTCTAACTGCATTTGACTTTGACTATAAAAAGCCCAAAACCCTAAGTAGGGGCCTTAATGATTACCTATACCATTTTGAGGGATCCTTACTCTAATTATAGTATAATATATGAAACTGCAAAACCCTAAACCGCAAACCCTAAAACCCAAACCTTGACACTCCGAAAGCTCGCTGTAATTTTTGTGTTTTGGAGCCTCGACGAGATGATTGCACTCTCCTCCTGCACAGGGTTCCGGGTTGGATGCGCGGGAAGGTCTGAGGGCTTGGGGGTCACCCTACACCCGAAACACACACAACCCTCCCAAAACCCAAGCCGCAAACTCTGACATCCCCAATGGGTGGAATCTTCAAACCAGACATAACCCCTAAACATCAAACCTCCAAAAGCCCAAACGCGTCTGATTTTGGGAATCCCGGCGCTGGCGGCGTGCCTTTGCATCGGGGAGGATGTCTAGAGCTCTTTACAGGGTTTTTGTACTGTTGATGGACAAAATCCTGCATTACCCTTTATAAGGAATACACCATAGTTCCCATAGTTTAGATCCCTTAGGGTCATGCAGGATTTTGTCCATCAGCAGTATGGTTTCAAAGGCTTTTGCTGAGTTTTTTGTGCATATGGTTATAGAAGATTGCGGTGGTTGCGTGCTGTCTGATTTGAAGCAGGCATTGCACTGTTCGGGATTTGCTTCACTTCAAGCGGTATAGGGTTCGCAAGCATTTTTCGTTTGGTGCAGAGGGTTTGGGTGTAGAACCTTGTACAGCAGATGTTGCCATTCTACGAGTATGCAAAGATTTTCAGGCACCGTTTGACATCCACTACTCGCTATGAGTCATTGGTTTGCGCCATTCTTTTCATTGTCTTTCTTTCAAAGGGGAAAAGGAGGGACCCCCTGCCCTATAATGGGCTATATAATGGGTATATAATAGCTATATTAAGGGTATATACCTAGGGGTCCTTATTAAAGATCCCTTCTTTTACCCTTGGATTCTTCTTGTCTTTGACCTACCGGGTGTCAATCTGAATGGATCGAGCCGGTCCCCGGCCAGTCGCCCCAAGTCGTCCGAGTAATATAGGGCCGCAGTAATCAATTAGAACAGGGTTGTGGTGTATTGTTATATGATAGTTACAGTAAGGAACCCCCAGAATAATATTGGTAACCTGGGTTGGTCTTTAAACACCCTGAAAAATATTTATATATAGGGTCCCTTATAAACCCAAATAAGGAAAATGAAAATGTCCCAACATTATTTACACCCCTATATTGCGCGAGCCGCCTGCTTGCGACCTCACCCTTTAAGCCGCCCCAACCTCGTTCTCAACACGTCGCTGCTGCTCGCGATTCTATTGCCACAACGACTAGGGGCTTAGGGTTTAGGGTTGAGGACTTGTGTTTCTTTTTAAGTGGTTGAGGGGTTCAGGGTTGAGGATTTAGGGTTGAGGGGCTTTTACGCCTCAAATTCCACAATGTAAGGCGTCGGTTGCTTCCCAACGACAATCAGATCCCGAGCTTGGTGGCGGGGAGGACGGCCACCCATCATTTCCATGCACGTAAATCGTACCCTAAACCCTACTTGGAGGGTCGGGGGACTTAGTAACTGGTTATTTTAGGGACTTTTAAGTACCATAACCCCAATTAGGGTCCCTTTTAGCGAACTTATAAGTCTACTTACTGACTACTTACTAAGTCCCCCGACCCCTCAAGGAAACCCCTACCACGCATGTATTGACCATGGTTGCTTGCATTGCTATTATGCCGGCGCTCCCCCAAAACCACACTTGATGTCTATGGTTGCTACCCCTTGCCTCCTACTCCAGCTGCAACTGCAGCAGTCTTGACATTGTTCTGCCACAACTAACTATCATCAGGAACCCGAAGGCTTTAAGAAAGACCACTACAAACCGTCCTAAAACCCAAAACCCCCAAACCCTAAACTCTTAAACCCTAAACCCCAAAACCCTTAAACCCTAAAAACCCAAAACCCTAAATCCTTTGAATGTGGGGTTCAAGGTCGCTGGGTTCCCGTCGCCCCAAGAAAAGGCCACCCTTTGGATCATGGCAGGGTTTAGGGTTTAGTGTTCCCAGAAAGGCCACCGTTGCGAAATCCGTTGCAAAAACTCGCAAGGACATAGTCGTTGCCTATTTGGGGGGGCCTTGCGCTTACAGTAGAAGCCCAAAAGTTGGAAACCCAATAGCCTCGATCCGTAAGGGTAATTCATAAGCAATCTCAACACTATTTGGCCTTAATCCGGTTTCCAACTTCAATGGGGTTTACTTTCGTGACTACGGCACATGTGGGCCGCAGAATTCACAAAGCGAAACAGCAGAGGGCAAACAAAAACAACAGAGGTTGACGGCATTGTCAAGCTTAGCCATGGACCGGCTAGGCCACCAGTCCTACCCATTGCAGACGTGGCACTCGGAGGAGATTTTGGCGTCCGTGGCGTTGAGTGGGTCTCGCTGACCTCACTTGTTCATGTGGTCTTAGCAGGAAGGAAAACTACTTCTCTGGAGAGGGCGGTAGGAAAAGTGTAAGACTCCGAGAAAACCCGATACCCAAAACGCTTGACTCTAACCCCGAAACCAAAACCCGAAACCCTAAAACCCCTGTCAAATCCTAAACCCCAAACCCAAAACCAGACAAGATTGGGTACCCAGAGATCCCAATATCCCTTAATTCAGGAATATACGTTAAACCATATTAGGGATCCTACTACAATCTAAGGTATATGATTAGTTTAATTAACGGATATACCTTGAACCATATTGGGGATCCGACTATAATTTGTTGTATACCCCTTAATTAAGGACTGTACCTTAAATCATAAGCTTAAGGCTTTTTATATTGTAAGGTATACTATTTAATGAAGGGATATTGGGCTCTCCGGTCATTGCCAAGTCAGGAGGGGACTTACGAACCACGGTCGGGCTTCTCGCATTCCAAGTGCAGAAAGGACCTCCTTACTGTAGGGGCTTAAGGGGGTCCTTTAGGGTTCCTTTAAATGGATCCTTAAAGGGCTCTACATAAAGGTTACTGTAAGGGCGATTATAAGCGTATAATTTAGGAGCCTTCAGAATTAGAATAGGGTTCCTTTAAGGGGATCCTTTTCATGGATATTATGAGGGATCTATAAGGGTACGATACTACAGGGGCCTTCATAAATAGAATAGGGTTTCGAGTATTTTATGCTACGGTTGCAATAATCAACCCCCAAGGCAGTATTGGTAATCAATTGGGCTCCTATAGTATGCGGCTTCGGGTTTAGGGTTTACGGAACTGGGGCCTTCAATTTCTATGTCACACTGAGGACGATGCGGAATGTGTCACTGTCACAGACTCCAAGAGCCCGTGAAGGTAATTATTAAGGCCCCTATAGAAATCTGAGTTTTGTTTAGGGTTCAGGGTTGAAGCCTTCCACCCTGGACGCCAGGCACCGGCGCTTGCTTGGCAACAGAGGTTCAATGGCCTTCTTGGTCCCATCTGTGACCAATGTGTCTTGCAAGTCCTGCGGTTTGTTGGCTGTACTGATGATGCAATCATCAGCAAACCGCTGCAGATCCGTCTGTCGAAGAATTTGCACGGGGGTAAGCCTGGTTGCAGCAGGAGACATCATCAGTAGAGCATGGCTTCAACCATCTCATATGTCACAGGCCCTTACCAAACCCCGGGCAGTATAGCTTCGTAAAAGCCAACTTACTAACCCTAGAAGCCCTCATGAACACCTTCTAAAGCCCTCTATCACCCTATCAAGTGTCAACCCATGCAACACCTAACCCAGGGAGCCCAATACCCGTTAATTGCGGAGCATATCTTCAATGGCTTAAGTCGTAATCATCGGAAGCACCTTGTATGTTAAAGTATATGCCTAAACCGAGGGGCTGGGAAATAGACCCACAAGCAGTATAATTTTTGAAAAGCTGCCCAAAAAGACACATCCTTTTAAGACGCCCCCAAACCTACTTAAGACATACAAAGGAAACAAGCCTACACGCTGCTAAAACCCTGAAGCCTACTACAGGGGCCTTAATAATTACCTATACTATTTTGGGGGCTCCTTACTACAATTATAGTATAATATACCACCAAACCCTAGTTCCAATTCCAGTATTAAAGGCCCGGCCCTATATTATAGTACGCTTATAGATCCCTTATAGAACCCTTAAAGGAGCCCTTTAAACCTACTCTAATTATTAAGGCCCCGCTGTTTTTACTGGATCGCTTCAGAGATCGGCCCGGCGTGGGACTCGGCGCTGACTTGGCTGCGACTTTGGCAGCCTCGTCGAGCCCCGGGATTCGGGTTTCTTAGGGGCTGAGTACCCGCATAAAAAAAGGTAAACTTGAAAAAATATAGTAAGAATAGATTAGTCCCAAATGGTCACTACTCAACCCCAGGATTTGGGTTTTGTGACGCTTTGTGTTCGCTTCACGGGCTTACAAGGGTTTAGAATGTTGCCAAAGTGTTGGGTGAAGGACATAGAGATTTTTAACGACAAGGCTAGCCAAGGTGAGCTGCTGAGCTCCCAGGGCCATAAGTGGTTACCCTGAGCCCAGGGGTTGATGAACCCCAAGCAACCTCACGGATTCAACTATGCTGGCTTCAAGCTGACCCAGGGACACTGAAGAAAACCAGAAAGGCCCATTGATTTCAGGTATACTGTAGTGGTCTGCAGAACTATTCATAACATCCCCTCGACACCCTTGAATAAGCAACTACATGACGGTACTTCTTGCAGAAGTGTTGGCTGGCTTATGCACGTAACTTCTTCCGAGGCTGTGCGAGGTTGTGCTTCCGTGTCTGCTGTGGGAAGAGGGCAGCTCTTAGGCAAGAGTCAACTTGGTAGGAACCCTAGACCTTAAATACCCTCAATCCCAAACCGCTAAATCCTAACATTATCCTACAATTGCAAACAGCTGGAGGACTCCTAGCCAGACATTCAGCACGCTTTTGTTTTGCGGTTTACGGCTTAGTCATTCAGGTTGAAATCTTGCGGGTTTAGGTTTCAGGCGTTTAGGGCTCAGGGCTAGTATCTCCGGAATCACACCCAAAATGCACACCCACCGGTTTGTGAGAAGCAGGGTTATCTACTCGCACGAAGATCCCAACACAAACCCTGATTGAGAGGAGCTCTATAAACCTCTTCAACAACCTATCAGATCCTTTTTTGATTATTGGGTTAAGGATTTAAGGTTCATGGTTATTATACGACGCGACCATAACCCCAACTTCATTTCGAGGTGCTGCAAGCTCGAACAAATTCAGGTACCCAGAGAACCCAATACCCCTTAATTAAGGAATATACCTTAAATTTTAGAGGCCTTGATATTATGATTTGAGGTATAATCCTTAATTAAGGGCTATTGGGTTTTCTGGGTACGGGCATGCCAGTCCTGAAGTCGCAGGGGGAGCTCTGTACGACGTAGCCTAAAATCAGTATGCCGTAAACTACTGTTGATGATATAACTCCTGCATTACCCTAAGGACCCTAAACTACGGGAATTACGGTATATTCCTTATTATGGGTAATGCAGGATTTGTCCATCAGCCGTATATCTATATAGGGCTCGTCGTGACGGCGCTTGAGAACAATTCTCAGTCGAGTGCTTTAAAGCTGTGCAGGAAGCTAAGACGGACATCCGCTAAGCCGCTGGTGCTCGGGTTGTCTCGGATTGTCCTTCTGGGCACCCAAGCCCTTACAGAAACTTTGCTAGGGACCCGGAAGTAAACCTCACTGTGACCCCGGGCCTTATGTCCAGTCTTCCCACTGGTCCTTTTCACGAACAAGCTATCTTACAAAGCGGTACTTTGTCCTTGTGTCTCGGGAACTAGAGCTTAAGCTTAGAGGGGTCTAGAGTTCAAGGCTTAGGGCTTCGGGCTTGCTTGAAGGCTCATTGGACTTAGTAACTAGGGTTAGAATCAAGGTAACTATACATATAAGTACTTATAACTCCAGTCAAGGTACTTGTAACCTTACTTACTAAGTCCCAGGATCCTCCAAGTAGGGTTTAGAACTGAAGCCGTGGGGTCTAAAGGGTTTACGGTTTCAGGTTCAGGATGTACCCTTAGAGGCAACCCTATCAAAGACCCGTATAGTACCCCTCAAAGGGAACCCTACAGTACCTTTTCAAAGGGGGACCAGAAGAGACCTCCTTTAAGAGGGGTCCTTACTTGGAGGGTCGGGGGACTTAGTAACTGGTTATTTTAGGGACTTATAAGTGGGGTCCCTTTTAGGGTACTTATAAGTCTACTTACTAACTACTTACTAAGTCCCCCGACCCCCCAAGTAAGGGACCTTAATTTTGACAACTAGCCATATCATAGTATATACCCTTATAGTATCCCTTGTGGTATCCCTTATATAGTAACCCTTATAGTAACCCTTATAGAGCCCTTCAAGGAGCCCTTGGACGAGCCATTTTTAAGGCTCCGCGCCTTTCCCGTGAGCGCCGGACGCCCGGAGTCCCGGGCTGAGGTCCTGCGACGCATAGGGGTCGAAGCATCTTTAAAGAGATCTTTTCAGGGGCTCCTTAAAGGGATCCTATAAGGGATCTAGAGGGTGTAGGTTTAGGGTTTGGGCTTTGGCCTTGAGGATTTTGATTCCAAAGCCCCTATACACCTCATAAGTCATATATATATATATATGTATATATATATATATATATTCAGATGTATTCAGCGGAGATTCCAAACAGTGAAACACCATCCTGACGACTACGACGAGGAGACCACCCGGAGAAGACGAAGAGACTACCACCAGGACACTGCTTTCCCCCAACTACTGGCGGCTCCAGGCCAAGCGCGAAACTGACTTCCCCTCCAAGTACTGGTGCGTTTCGCTCGCATCAGGGTTATGCTTCGCCACTTTTGCTTGCGAGATCCAAACGAACACCCGACGTCGTGTTGCCAGACTACCGCTGCGATTGAGGGTTCCAGGAGACAAAAGTGGCCACGTCGCGGGCTTCAGATGCCACAAACTATTGGAGCAGCGAAAACTATGCACAGTACCAGCTTCCTGTGGAACCAATACCCTGGAAGCAAGAACCCCATAGTGTTAGCACGCTGTTTGGGCAATGAAAAACCCTCTACGACTACGATTTAAAGTTATCGGGCTTGTGTGTGTAGGGAGGGCTTACGGGACTTCAAAGATTTATTGTGATTGCTGCTTACGGATTCAAGCTACATTCCAGATGGTTTAAGAGGTAATCGTAATATACAAGCCCGACTAATTTGACCAAGGATTTGGGTGCGTTTTCATTATTTACAAACGAAGTACGTTACCCTTGGAAATAGGATTTCGAAGCAGTCAGCGCCAAAGGCTACGTATTTTCATCTGATGATGGGGATTCAGAACCGTCGTTTGGGTTTGAGGCATCTCAGCCTGAAGCCGGAACTCTACGTCCAAACCTAAACTGAAACCAATCCTGAACCGGAGCTCCCCGTCCAACTTCTCAAACCCAACTCCTAAACCCAAGGAAGCAGTCCTGAAACAAAACTCTTTTCCAACCGTACCTGCAAACCCAACTGCCCTTCAAAGCCTAAACGCTAAACCCCGGACCCCAACGCCCTACACCGTACTATACCTTAAACTCCCAGGTTCGTTATATTCCCGAGGATCCCTTTCAGGAGCCCTATAAGGATCCCTTTAAGGAACCCTAGTTACTAAGTCCCATGATCCTCCAAGTAAACCCTACACCCTAAACCCTATCGATTCCTTTAAGGAACCCTATAGATCCCTTTAAGGAACCCTATAGATCCCTTTAAGGAACCCTATAGATCCCTTTAAGGAACCCTATAGATCCCTTTAAGGAGCCTTTTAAGAGCTCCTCTACCACCTTGCGTTGATGCGCTTGCAGGGGCCTGTGAAGTGCTGTTCAAGGGAGTCTCTGGGCTGTTTAAGGTTTAGGGTTTTAAGCTTTAGGACTCAGGGTTTAAGGTTTTAGGGCGTAGAATTTTCTGTTTCAGGTTTAGGGTTTTAAGCTTGAGGATTCAAGGTTTAAGGTTTTAGGGCATAGAACTTTCTGCTTAAGGCTTAAGGTTTATAGGGTGCTAAGCTTTAGGATTCAAGGTTTAAGGTTTTAGGGCGTAGAACTTTCTGTTTAAGGTTTAGGGTTTTAAGCTTTAGGATTCAGGGTTAAAGGTTTTAGGGCGTAGAATTTTCTGTATAAGGGTTAGGGTTTTCAGGCTGAGGATTCAGGGTTTAGGGTTTTAAAGTGTAGAATTTTCTGTTTAAGCTTTAGGGTTTTTCGATTTAGCAGTCAGGGTTTAGGGTGTTAGGGTGTAGAGTTCTGTGTTTAAGGTTTAGGGTTAAGAACTTACGGCTTAAGGCCTATAGGTGTACAGGCTTTCGGAAGTGGGCGGGTTGGGCCAAACTCAGAAACCAGGCTGAGTGGCTGTATTCATACATGACAGTACAATTTCGTAGCATGCAAGAACACTTTCACATGGGTGGCATAGGTGGCGGCAGATCATGCCTGAAGAAATAACTACAGGGACTACAGGGGGCATAATGTCACATGAGAGATTCGACAGCGCCCCACGAAAACAATGAACTCTGAATCCAAGGGTTCCTGCTACTTTGCTTCGGTTTCGTGTCCACGGCGAACTTCGCCTATTGAAGATGTTCAGGAGCTGCAGGTAGAGCACCGGAGGCTTGGCATTCGCGCACAAGGGCACCTGGTTCTCGTCAGCAGCCGGCTCGGGAGCGGCTCTCAGAGAACCCAATACCCCTTAATTAAGGAATAATACCTTAAGTCATAACCTGAGGGTCCCTATAATTCAAGGTATATTCCTATTGATTAAGGGGTACGAAGGTTCTCTGGCCTTTTCCCGTTCTCGATCTTGTTCTTCTCCATGCGGAACGGGGCCGAGAGGGCTCCTGCGGAAACACTCGGCGTCCCGGTGGGATGGAAGATGTGCAGCCATCGCACTCCGTCGCCGCGGTGGTGCAATGCCTGATGGAACTGTTGTGCAAGAGCTGCTGAAGGAAGAGTCTGGCGCCGGAGCACCATAGATCCGGGCAGTTGTTCTTTTGACAAGCGTGATGAGGTGCACCTGCAAGGTGCTCGTCGCCGTGCTCACCACGGGGACGCAGTCCAAGACATGAACTGTTGCAGTTTCCGCGAAGCTCACGTTGCGTGCCGCCGCATGGTGTCGCAACCAGCACGTCTGCACTCGTGCCCAACAAGCGTGCGGTCTCTACCAGATGCTTGCCCTTGATCCTGCTGTCCGTCTGGTTCTGGCATAATGCGCAAGCCTTGGCTTTCAGGACGTTCACACAAGCACAGTTGCTGCACAATGTGCTTTGCAAGGAGCTTGTTGCCAGCGGGGTAGAAAGGATTAGGGGTAGGGCTTAACTTTTCAGTTCTGAATGTAGGCTCTGCTTGTGTAGCATTTAGTGTTTCCATCGAAATGTCCGTTTTCCAGAATGCAGGCTTTATCATAATCACTTCTTCAGGAAAATTGACGGATTTTGTCTCATCAACCATCTGGAAACACACGCCTGGGCCCGATCCTTAATCCAAACTTAGCCCGACACTACCAAATCAAGGAACGCTGTCACATGCCGCTATGTCTTTCTCATGCAGCGGTTTAGATAGGGCTTCTGGGGTTAAGGGTTGAGGGTTCACGGTGTTCAGGTTTACCCATAGGCCCCAAAGTAGTCTCTTTTTGGGATTTCCTTTGCGGATACTGAATATGAACCCCAAAAGGAACTACTGGGGGGCCTTAGGGTAGAGAGCCCTACCCTAAACCCTAAATTCTAACCCTAAAACCTAACTTGGAGGGTCGGGGGACTTAGTAACTGATTATTTAGGGACTTATAAGTACCATAACCCCAATTAGGATCCCTTTTAGGGTACTTATAAGTCTACTTACTAACTACTTACTAAGTCCTCCGACCCCCCAAGTATACCCTAAACCCTAACCCTAACGAGCCCCAAACAGGAACTACTTGGGGGCCTTAGGGTAGAGAGCCCGCAGGGAGCCAAAGATCCTAAGCCAGACTTCGGACCTCGGGGTGCTTGCGTCGGTACTTAGAGGTTCATGGCACTTAACAACTATGGTCCTTTAAGGGTCCTATAGGGTTCCATAATAGGGCTCCCTTTAAGGGTTTAGGGTTTAGGGTCGAAGGGTCGACTTGAAGGAACATGGTACTTAGTAGCTAGGGTTGTAAATAAGGTAGCTATACTTATGACTGGTTATATCCCCAGTTAAGGTACTCATAACTGTACTTCCTAAGTCCCATGAACCTCCAAGTATGCTCATGACGCATCCTATCCCTGCCCCCAAGGGTCCAAAGGACCCAATAATTAGGTACTCGGTTTTCGGATAGTAGTTATGTAGGCTACTATTTTGGAGAGTATATGACAATTAGGTACTTGGACCCTCAGGGTGCTGTCTACAAGGAGATCTGCCCCTCAAAAAAAAGGAGACCCTCAGTGATCCCTAACCAACGAACCCTCAAGGAACTGCAGAAGCACATTGAAGTCTCGAAGTCTTGACCCCGCACATCCGCATTCGCCGGTTTAGGGTCAAGGGTTGATGTAGGTTTTGGAGTTGCAGATTCATTTAGGGTTTCGGGCGTAGGGCTCAGTTAGGGTTGCTTTAGGGTGTAGGGTTTGGGATTGCTTGAAACTCCGATGCTCCATTAAGACCCCCAAGCCCAAAAATCCTATACCTACTTACCCCCTATTTCCGATTTAGAACCAAGAAAGTCCGATAAGCCCTAAACCTCAGAAAGCCCCAGAACCCCTTACCCTGCATCCTAGCACCTCCATGCCTCCACCTCTTTGACCCGCAATTTTGAACCTCAGCCCTAAACCCTGTCACCCTAAGCGCGAAGCCTCAGAACCCACGATGGCCCACCCCCCTAAACCCCTAAACCCTTAAACCCTTGAGCCCTTAAACCCCTAAGCCCTCAAACCCCTAAACCCCTAAAACCCTTAAAACCCCCAAACCCCTAAACCCCTAAACCCCCAAACCCCTAAACCCCTACACCCCCAAACCCCTAAACTCCTAAACCCCACATCTCCTAAACCCTTACCTCCTTAAGCCCCATATAGATCCCTTAAAGGAACCCCTAAGGATCCCTAAACCCTAAACCCTAAACCCTAAAGATCCCTAAACCCTAAACCCTAAACCCTAGACCCTAAACCCTAAACCCTAAACCCTAAAGATCCCTAAACCCCCAAGCCGCCTCCGGACTGCGCGTCTCCGCCGGTGAGTCGGCAAGCAGCGTGAAGCCACGGACCTTTGGGTCCTCAGGGCTTCGGGGTTTTAGGGTTTTAAGGGTTCCTTTAAGGGTTCCTTGAAGGGATCTTTAAGGCTCCTTTAAGGGCTTTAAGGCTTTAAGGGTTTTAAGGGTTTTAAAGGTTTTAAGGGCTTTAGGGTTTCAGGGTGTTAAGGGATTTAAGGGTTTTAAGGGTTTTACCTGGAAAGCCATAGTTGCGCACAAAAGTTGCAACCGGTCACTGGTGGCAGTTTTTTTTGCAGCTGCAATTCTTGGCTCGTTTCGTATGCCTGGAGGAAGCAGTATATGTCAGTAATATTGGCACAAGGGCCTCGAAGTTGACATATTGATCAATCCTTTCTATGCTGGTATTTGGTTTACCGCACATGCTGCTCTTCAGGTTCAGAAAAATCACCGCGAACAGGAATAATGAGTAGTTCGTGCCGATGCTTTTGGTCTGGTTTGTTGCGTGCCTTTGCATGCTTGCCATGCTCAAATCGATCCGGAGTTTGTGAACATCACGTGATCGTGTCCCTGGTTTCACTTTGTGGTCAGCACGCTTACCGCATGATGATAGTCTGGGTTTTAGTAATGAGTCGAAAGCATAGACATGCCAGATGTCTTCTATCCAGTAGTGTGATGATATGCGAAACTCATGTGTGCAGTGCACGGTTGTTGTGAACGCCCTCCAAACAGGGACGGCAACTGCCCACATGATGCAACAAACAGCAAAGCAAAACGACCTACGCTTTTCTGCGCCACTCCTACGGCTTTCTGCGCCACTCCTACCGGCTTTTGCGCCACTGCTGCTTTGGACAATTTCTGCGTCTTTTTGTTTAAAAAATGCTCGATCGGGTTCCTGCTGCGACATGACAGGACCTATCTGTGTGTGACACACTGACCACCAAATCATTTTAGCCATGTCTTTTATTAAATTTTCCTTTTCCTTTCGACATATGTATGCCTGACCAACATGGAAGACTTTCTGTGGGCATGTTCGGGCGTGCAGGCTTACATGGAGAAGTTGCAAGAAGTTAAGCTGCATTCTCTGAGCACCGTTTTCGCAATTAGAGCGCAAAGCTTGATTTTGTGTCAGGCGTGATGTAGCCTCTGCATGGTTCACAAACAGTGCCGCCGCTCAAACTGCCAATTGGTACGGTGGAGTGTGCGACACCATCCAACTAGCATTTGACGTTTTGGCTTTGTCGCTTGCTCAGGAGCACGTGAAAACAGGGACTTGCTGAAATTTTGCATCAGCAGTGCGCAGTGGCAAGTTTTAGCCGAGGTGGCAAGTATTCCTGCCACTGCCACGTTTTGCACCGGTGGCAAGAAAAGTGCGCAACTAACGCGTTCCAGGTACGAGCTTTAGGGTTTTAAGGGTTTTAGGGTTTTAAGGGCTTTAATTTAAGGGTTTAGGGTTTTAAGGGTTTTAGGTTTTTAAAGGCTTTAAGGGTCTTTACGGCTTTCGGGCTTTAGGGCTTCGGGGCTTTAAGGGTTTTAGGGTGTTAAGGGTTTTAGGGCTTTAAGGGCTTTAAGGGTTTTAGGGTTTTAAGGGGTTTAGGTTTTTAAAGGCTTTAAGGGTCTGTAGGGCTTTCGGGCTTTAGGGTCTTTAGGGCTTCGGGGCTTTAGGGCTTTCGGCCTTTAAGGGCTTTTGGGCTTCAGGGCTTTAAGGCCTCATGGGTTTTAGTCCTTCAGCAGGGCTTTAGATTCAGGGCTTCAAGGGTTTTAGGGCTTCAGGGTCTTTAGGACTTCGGGGCTTGAGGGCTTTAAGGGTTTCAGGGCTTTAAGGGTTTGTGGTTTTAAGGGTTCTAAGCGTTTTGAAAGTTCAGGGTTTTAAGGGCCTGGGCTTTGGGGTTGGGTCCTGAGGGCTTCAGGACTTTAGCGTTAGCTTCAGGACTGCCTTTAAGGGTTCTTTTAAGGCTTTCTGCTAGCCTTCTCTTTTAAGGAGTGCTTTTAGGGTTCTGTTAACAACTGCATCTGGGTTTAGGGATTGAGGGCTTGAGGATGCAGGGCTTCGGGGCTCCTTACCCAGAGGCCCCATAGTAGTTCCTTTTTGGGATTACCTGATAGGATTCTATATACGAACCCCAAAAAGGAACTACTTTGGGGCCTTTGGGTACTGTAGTTAACAGTTCCTTTCTTCCTGTCTTGCTGCGCTTTAGAGTTGCGGGCTTTGGGGCTTGGAGAGTCGAGGTTTCCGAGTTCTAGAGATTTCAGCATGTATGCGTGGATCCATCGTCTAGGGGTTGAGGGCTTTAGGCTTGAGCTGAACTATTTTTCAAGCCCAGAGCATCCATGGCTTTTGCATTGCTTGAACAGACATGCAGCTGGTCCCCATGGCCCCTTGCAGAATCCTGTACTTGGGGGGTCAGGGGACTTAGTAAGTAGTTAGTAAGCAGACTTATAAGTACCCTAAATGGGACCCTAATTGGGGTTATGGTACTTATAAGTCCCTAAAATAACCAGTTACTAAGTCCCCCGACCCTCCAAGTAGAAGAACCCGTATGAGAAAGCCAAAAAACCCGCGCCGCGTGCCTGGCTGGGCCTCCGCAGGGTCGGTGTGCCAGGGCTTGCGGCCCCTGGGCGTGAGTCCGTGGGTTAACGGCTTTGCGTAGGAGTTATACTACTGCTGATGGACAAAATCCTGCATGACCCTAAGGACTCTAAACTATGGGAATTATGGTATATTCCTTATAATGGGTAATGCAGGATTTTGTCCATCAACAGTAGGGTATTCTCGGGCATCGTAAGGGTTGTAGAAGCGCGAACCGGGTGTTTACACGATTCCCAGACGGCCAAAGTACCTGATGCTTTAGTACGGTATGCGGGCTTTAGGATAGTAGGAATGTAGGCTTAGTCTTGGAGGGACTGAACGAGCTTATGCACTTGGGCCTGGATGACGCTTTCTGGAGGCTTTTCCACGACGTACCCTGTTCACGGGGGTGAACTGAATTAGATAAGAGGCTTTATAGGGTTTGTCTGGGAGGTTGTCCAAGGCTTTATAAGGGATCGGAATATTGTGGAGTCTTTCGAATCAGCGGTGGTAGAGGGTGTTCTTGATTGGAGGATGCTGGACTTACTGAGCAGGTAAGCATATAGAGTTAGGCTCTGGGGCACAGGTGCTTCTTATGCAACTTACTCCTTAGGCTCTGGGGCACAGGTGCTTCTTATGCAACTTACTCCGCGAGGGTTTTGTGTTAAGGGCTTGCTTGGAGGATGAGGGTCGGCTGAGATCTGTATGGTTATGAGCACCCTATCTGCGTTTTCCTCCACGGTCCCTGATATCACCTACTAACATCTACTAACACTATTCAGGAAATAGGCTCCGACAGACCATCCCTACTACGGCGATTAGGTGCCTAATACCACAATGGTTGTGTATTTTGGTGTCTATCCCTAAACCCTAAACCCCACACCACAATGCTTGTGCATCTTCGTGTCTATCACTAAACCCTAAACCGCCCTAATCCCTAATACCACACTGGTTGTGCATCTTCGTGTCTATCCCTAAACCCAAAACCCTGATACCACAATGGTTGTGCATCTTCGTGTCTATCCCTAAACCCTAAACCCTACACCACAATGCTTGTGCATCTTCGTGTCTATCACTAAACCCTAAACCGCCCTAATCCCTAATACCACAGTGGTTGTGCATCTTCGTGTCTATCCTTAAACCCAAAACCCTGACACCACAATGGTTGTGCATCTTCGTGTCTATCCCCAAACCCAACTAGTGTTAGGGCTTGGGGCTTCCAGGTGTAAGGAATCCTGAGTCCTAAGCCACAAGGCATGACCCCTCAACCCTAAACTTCACAAACACCCTAAAGCCCTCAACCCGGAACTTCACAAACATCCTGAACTCCTAAACACTAAACATTCTTTTCTCCTTTGTCTTCAGCTTCGTCAATTTATTCCTAGGCGATGCTGAAACAGATCTGCCGGATGAAGAACGGTCCTCCTCCTTGGCACGGATATCGGAGTCCATCGCTGTGGTCGACGTCTTGTACTTTTCGTTTTACATCAGCAACTTTTCTATCTCGGCACGGAATTTGTCGGACTCCTTTTTCCATTGCTGCTGTAGCTGTTGCAGAGGCTTAGCTAAGGTTTGTCACAGAAAGCCTAGAGCCGATTCTCAATCGGGTCACCTTCTCATCCGTGGGCATCGTCAGCTTCTGGTCCTTTTTGGGTTATGCACAGGGTTTGTTGCCGAAAACGAACAATTCTTTCATCGGGTCTCCTTTTCACTAGTGAGCGTCATCAGCTCCGTGTCCTTTTGGGTTACGACGCCCCAAACCCTAAACCGACTTAATCTTGCCGCAGCTTCGGCGTGTCTGCGCATTCAGCGCCTCCTAACCCCTAAACTTAACAAAGCCCTGAATCCCAGAACCCTAATTCCTAAACACTAAATTACTAACTGCTTCAACTCGAGACGCTTAGGCTCTGGCCAGCAGAGGGCGGAACCTGCATCAGGGGCTCTTTCCCAAACCTTTCAAAAATCCCCTTATACACTTGAAGGTTCTTTAAAGGGTTCCTTAGCGGGGTCAATAAGGGTTCCAGACGGGAATTAAGGAATAGACCGGAATAGACCTTAAATCATATCAGGGATCCTACTATCCCCATAAACTCCCTCATATAGGCTTACTAGCACCCTCGATGGGAACCCTGATCCTACCACAGTGTAGAAGGAACCCCCACATTTAACCCTAAACCTTAAACCCCAAAACCCTAAACCCGAAAACCCTCAACCCCGAAAGCCTAAACCCCAAAACCCCTAAAACCCTTACCTCCTTAAGCCCCATAGATCCCTTAAAGGGGCCATAAAGATCCCTTAAAGGAATCCTATAGATCCCTTAAAGGATCCCTTAAACCCCAAAACCCCAAAACCCTAAACCCTATCCCTTATAGTAACTCCTATAGATCCCTTGTAGACCCCTTTAAACCTAAACCCTAAACCCTGTAGAAAGCGCCCAAACCCCCAAAAAACCCAAAACCCTAAAACCCCAAAAAACCCAAGGCCCCGGGGGGCCTGGGGAGCAAGTGTCGCCATCAGAAAGGTGGACTGAGCCAGCCTTAGAGCTTCAGAGATCCCAATACCCCGTAATTAAGGAATACCTAGGGTTCCTTGAAGGGATCTACAGGGGATCTACAGAGTTTAGGGTTTAGGGGATTCTAATATTTCTGAATTGAGGATTATAGAATTGAGGAATATACTTGAGATTATAGCATTAAGCACCCTATGATTTAAGGTGCAATCCTTAACAAAGGGGTATTGGGTTCTCCTGGGAGCTTCGGAGGAGGGCTCCGAGCTTACAGGGGTTAGGGTTTAGGGCTTAGGGGGCGCAAGGTGGGGTTGGTGGGGGTTAGGGTTAAGGGCTTAAGGCTCGTATGCAAGACAATGTAAAGCTTCTATGCGCGTTTATCGAAGTTCCATAAAAGTTTCATAGGGCTGGCTGTTATACGGTTTGTATCGTGGCATATTGCTGTTTACGTTTTACGGTAAGGGCTATAGGGCTACACGATTTAAATTTTGGCAGCACGGTTCTTGGGCCGGGGTACAGGGTTCGGGTGCGATCTCCTAGCTTGGAATTCGGGTCCAGGGTTTGGATGACATAGTCTCGGGCGTGAACTATACAATAACACGATCATCAACACGAACTATGTGTGTGTGTTGAATACTACAGCAGCAGTGCTGTGTACACTTTCACATAAGAGAGCCGCCCGCAGATTGAACGCATTGCTTGTAAGAACCCGCATATTGGTACACTTTCAATTGCGCATGCGTGTGTGTGTGTGTGTGTGTGAAATGTGCTATGCGTTTTGTTTTGCTCGTGGAGGCGATGCACAAAGAGTTGTTTGCAATAACATCTGGAACGCGGAGATACAGACGCTACACGTTGGAGTTCGTTCTGCGCTCCCGTGGAAGGAAAATAACGTTCGGAATGCTAGATGGATGCTGCGACTAACATGATGTTGGCGCTGATGATGACCATTCGCTCAGAATCGCTTCAATCCTTGGTCCATGCCAAATAGAAGCAGGATTATGAGGTAGTGTACGATAATTATACTTAGGGACTATTTGTGGACCTTGCTCGCCTTACCACCTAATAACGGGGCCTTAACAGTTAGAATAGGGTTTTGGGGGCCATTATACTAAATTTATAATACGGAGCCCGAAATAGTATTGGCAATTATTATAACCCCTCTATATTATATTATGGTACCGTTATCGTACCCTTATGAGAGTACCCCCTTACTTTAAGGATCCCTTTAAACGGAACCCAGTTCTGTTTATTAAAGCTCCTATACCACCGATTTTTAACGGGGCTTTGGGATGCTTGGTTCTAGGCTGGGCGAAGCACTTCACAAAGGCCTGGCCGAAACCCCTAAGCCCTAGTAGAAGAACCTTTTAATACGAGTAAGGGTTACAGTACAAGTATACACATATATATATATATACACATACACATACATACATACATACATACATATCTCTGTATGCATGCGTATGTAGGTACATATATATATATATATATATCGGATATAAGAAATGGAAAATCGGAAAACACTTATGAATCATTTAGGAGTTCAAGACGGGCTTACGATTTCGAGCTAGTTCCTCCACACCCTCGACATGAAAGTCCAAGCCGAACGCCCTAAACAAAAAACCCCAAGTGCCGCTAAACCCTACAGCCCAACACCCAAAATCTTTGTCTTGCACTCCGGGACTGCTGCAGTGGCGAATCTCGCGGAGATTCTACCAGCTGTGCGGTGCCTGGATACCCAGAGACAAAGTGATCCAATAGTACTAAGTTAGTGATAACGGTCTCTTGAACATCATACTCGCAAGAAGGCTTCAAGGTGGCTGTAGGTCGCAATAGCAGGATTTCAAGTGTGTAGTGGATGCTTAATCATGGAGTTTCTGGACCTCTCCCCGACGTTGCAAGATTTAGGTATCGGTTTGGGATGTGGGGGTTTGGGGCTGCGCAAAGCTTACAGACCCGAAACTTTCAAGCTTTTTGACGACCCCAACCCCGAACAGCCGAAGCATTTCGGGCTTCGGGTGGTCAAAGCGCTTGAAAGTTTCGGGTGTATAACGTTGTAAAGGTTTTTGACCCCACTGGACCATGGGCTTCGAAACTTTGAGCGTAAACCGACACCCGAAGCCGCAACACCATTGCTCACGATCAGGCGCTGGTGAAGGATCCCGTAGAGGCGTCTACCGCAACCGTCCAACAACAATAACAACATCAATCCATCCATCCATGAATAGAGAGATCTGCAAAATATGTAGTGGTATTCCGGCATAATCCATATATTGGTAATTCTCTAACTTAGGGTCCTTTTCAAAGTCCAAAAAATAATACGGCCCCCTTCTAAAAGTGAGAGACCCGAACTTCGAGAACTACCCTTGTAGTACCCTTATAGAAGTCCTATAGAAACCCTTATCGATCCCTTTGAGGGACCCTAATTTCGAGCACTACCCACCTGCTTTCCTAAACCACAACTTAGAGAACTGCCTCTATGGAAGTTTCCGAAAAGAGGGGACCCTAATATATAGTACCCTGAATAGTAGGATCCTGTTTATAAGGAACCCCAAAATAAGGTAACCCCTAATAATCGAAAATTCCAGTATGCTTCTCAACTGAGGCTTCCTGTTGAAGCCGCAAGGCTCCTTTTGGGTTTATGTAAGAGACCACGACCCCATGACATCAGGATCATCAACGGCCATAGCCACAACAGCAACAGCCACAGCTAAAACGGCAAGCAGCAACGATAGTAATAGCGATGCAACAGCCGTGCCGCCTGTGCTTCCGTGCGCCACAGGCGAAGTCTCGAAGGAGGGAGCCTGCACAGCCGAACATATTTGGTCTACAGATTCTATGCTTACTTCCCCAATAAGCCGCAGAAATATGAGGTTAAACTTTCCGACTACTACTAAACCATAAGATCCCCAAAATATTTAAAGGTTGGGTATTGGGGAACCAAGTATGCAAGAAAAGCTCATATGGGGTATGGTGTCTATTATTACTTTCCCCCTAATAAAACCCAATATATACACTCACCTAATCCTAAAAGGAGCCCTAAGTACACTCACCAAAACGGTAATATAAACCCTACTTCATATGGATTCGGCGGCCGATGGTCTGGCATGTAAGGCCACGAGTCCGTGAGAAGCTACGGTATGCGGCTTTTGAAAGCCGCAGACGGGCAATCCCGTCATACGGGAGTCTACATATTGAGACGATTTTGAGAATATGGGAGTTTCCGGGGTACCGAATTTTTTGGGTCCTTGTAAGAAGGATCATACTGTTTAAGATACTATATTAAAGGGAACTCCAGAAAGTTGGAATATGGATTAATTGTAGGATCCCCTACAATTTACCTTAAAGGGGCTACGGTGATGATATTCCAACTTTCCGGCTTCTACTGTAGGGGCCCCCATTCTCCCAAAAGGCCTCGGGCCAGGTTGTAGGGTAAGAACAAGAAATAATTCCATGAAGGTCCTACGGTTGATGATTGTACGAGCTGCCATACCGTGGCGCTTGAATTATTTCGTGCAGGTTTTGTGGGTTTGTGTACTACGGTTGATGATATAAACCGTGCATGACCCAGAATAAGGAGTATACCATAATTCCCATAGTTTTGGGTCCTTAAGGTAATGCAGGATTTATATCATCAACAGTAGGAATGCATGAACTTTGCCATGACGAAGAAGCCTGGGTCTCGTTAAGTATCGTATCAGAGACACCCTTGTACCTGAACAGTCCGAAACCCTGAAGGCTAAATCCTAAAGCATGCGCAGCGTAACCCTAAACCCTAAGAAACCAAACTCCTAAACTCTAACTAAGCAGTGGTTTTGGGGTTCCCTTGGCTCTCTAGCTCCTTATTCACTAGGGATTATCATCATCCCTGGCTCCTTAGCTCCTCCGATATCAATGGTTAGCTAGACCCGGAACCCTGACTCCCAAACCCAATTGTTGACAGCAGGCTGGAAACACATTGGACAACAGAGCTTACGCTCATCGCTGTCTGCAAAAAGCGAGTCTCCGAAAATAGAGGACCCCAAGATAGTACTCTAAACAGTAGGATCCTTACTATAAGGACACCCAAAATGAGGTCGGAAACTCCCAAAAGGTCGGGCCCTGCTGGTAGTGACGATGGGGTGGTGGCTGGTGTTTGGCAGCTGTGCTTTACCTCAAACCGGATTGCCAGATCCTACACTTCTTTTCCACTTCCCTACATGGGTAGTTGTCAAAATTAATGTCCCTTTTTGGGTACCCTAAATAATAGGTGCCGTATTATGATAAGGACCCAAAACGGACCATAATTTTGAGACCCGGCCACTTCCTTGCATAGGTCCACTGGCGTTCCCGTGCAAAGGAAAGCTGGAAGGATCTTGTATGGATTCTTGAAAAGCTTGAATTCTTTTGTGGGTGGATTTGCGTTCCACACGAATTGTCCAGAGACGATACCCTGCTGGGTGAAGCTCTATCGATGCCAACGTCTTTAGCAGCACGGTACGTTGTGACATCGAGCTATCGAAGCACATCTGGCCCTGGATGCCGCACGCTGCCGCTAGACGCAGCACTGGCGTCAGGAGTTTCTGACGTTGCTCGCACTCCCTGAGGCAGCTCGGCCCGGCAATGTAGCCGCCGATGAACCTCTACAGCCACGTGCTCAGCGGGCACGACGCTGAAGTGACGACGAGGCTGGCTTCACTGGCCTTCGAAACCGCAAGCCAGATGATAAAGCTGGCCGACAGCGCTTTCTCTACCAGGTTGGCCGAAGTCATGTGCATGACTTTCAGAGGGGGATGGGTGTTGGCAGTGTTTGGGGATTTGGGATATTTGAGTTTAGGGTGTTGGCGGGCGGAGTCAGGGTGGTAGGGTTCAAGGTTTTTGGCATTGCGGGGTTTGCATGGCTTGGGTCAGTGTGGGGTGTTGGATATGAGGTTAGGTTTCGTAGGGTTGTCAAGGTGGGTCAGGGTTGTAGAAGAGTTCTTTGGTACTTGGGGGTCGGGGGACTTACGAAACCCTAAAAGGAACCCTAATTGGGGTTATGGTACTGTATAAGTCCCTAAAACAACCAGTTACTAAGTCCTCCGACCCCCCAAGTAGGGGCCATTTAGTCTTTCGACTTGCTGTGTGCAGTTGTTTTGGAGTCGGGTTTGAGCTTTGAGGGTGTGGAGTCTGGACTTGGGTTTGCGCTTGGAAGCAGAGGTTAGGCCTTCAGATGTTCAGTTGTACAAGGTTTTTAGGGTATAAATAGAGGGTAGTAGTTGGTGGGTTCTGAAGTTCAGGTAAACTCCCGAACCCCTAAACCCTTAACCCTTACGCTCTAAACCCTAATCCCACACAAATCCCTTAAAGGGACCCTTGAAGGAACCCTAAGCCCTAATCCCTAAACCTCTCTAAACTCCCCCTGTTCTTAGCGCCTCCGCGCGGGAGGCGGTCGATCCTGGGCCTCGGCGAGAACAATTTTTTCCCGGGTTCTTGTTAAGGAGCTTAATCTAAGTTACCATAGTGAGAAAACCATATTATTTACTATAGATCCCTATTGTGGAAACTTATACTGAGTTTTCTATAAAACAAGAACCCATTGCTTTTGATTTTCGGGTGGGGCTTTTCAAAAAATGGGTTCGGATTTAGGATTTAAGCCACTTGATTGCAAGGAGAGATGAGGAACTCGCAAGAGCGAGCCCCGGAGATGGTGGGGTTTTGGGGACCTCAGGGTTTGAAGGCTTCTTCACTCAAAGGGGAAAAGGAGGGACCCTAAATGGGACCCCTACCTACAATGAGCTATGTAATGGGTATATAATAGCTATATTAAGGGTATATACCTAGGGGTCCTTATTAAGGGTCCCTCCTTTTACTTGGAGTTATTTTGGGGTTTGGGGCTTTAGGGTTTCGGGTTTAGGTTCTTGGGGTTCAGGGCTTTTGGGCTTTGGGTTCATAGATCCTTTGGGGCTCGGGGCTTTAAGGTTTCGGGCTTATAAGGGTTAAGGTTTCGGGTTTCGGGTTGCTTTCGTACCCACATCCTGACCAGACTTGGCCGAACCCAGCTGTGGCGCGTCGACGGTATGCTCGAGCACCTTCGAACCTGCCGGCAGACTGAGCACCTCCTCCGGAGACACCGCCGCCACAACTGCCCCCTGCCGCATAACAACCTCCACTTCTCGCCCGAGAGCCTTGGTCAGCTGAACTTGAACAGCCTCCGCAGTCTCGGTTGTAGCAACCAACGCCCAAACGGCAGACATGATCGGAGTGCTACGGAGTTGCTACGGGACCTTTCTTGGGTCAAACACTGCGTCGAAGTCTAGAACCCCTACGCTCTTGCTGCACTGCATCTGTTGCAGGCCACACGACTGAACACTTTCGCGAAGCCCAACGGACTTGCGAGGACGGGTTCCAAGCTTCTAGACTGGGTGCCTCAAGGCATTCTAGATGGTATGTCCGAGGCTCCATCAGTGACCAAGGAGGTTCTGAACACTTGCCTCAAAAATGGGGTGCCTCGGATTTAAGGCGTTAGGGCTTGGGGTTTGCATAGGTTGGTGTTGTTGTTTGGTTGTGGCTCTGAAATTCGTTCTAAATTGGATGCGTGGGCTGCAGTGGAGATGTATATGGGAGTTTCCGAAAATTAAGGGGAACCTTATTTTGGGGTCCTTATAATGAGGATCTTACTATTTAGGGCACTATATTAGGGTCCCGTCCCCGAAGAACAAGCCCGCCTTCATGAGGGGCCTTACCATGCGAATCCCATATTAAAACCTCGATAATACACCTTCTTCAGGGTAACCCTAAAACCCCAAACCTCTAAGACCCTAGAGCCTTAACCCCTCTAAGATCCCTTCTAGACCCTCAATAGAACCCTGTAAGTAAAGAAGCCTCAGCAGAACCGTTCGACGAACCCTTACGAGAACCATGAAGAGAATCCCCAGAAAAAACCATCTTAGAACTCGTAGTGGAGCCCTCGGGAGACCCCTGACTAGGACCCTTAGAAGAAACAACAAACCCTAAACCCTCAACCCTAAACCTTCAACCCTAAACCCTCAAGCCTTAGAAGAAACCCGGCAATCTTAGACCTTTAGAAGAAGCCCGAAACCCTAAACTCTTAGACCCTTAGAAGAAGCCCGAACCTTGAGGAGCCAAGTGTCTGATTATCATATACTCTCCAAAATAGAAACCTACATAACTACTATCCTAAAACCGAGTACCTAATTATTGGGCCCTTCCCCTAAACCCTAAACCACTAAACCACTAAACCCTAAACCCTAAACCCTTAACCCCTACGCCCCAGACCCTAATCCCTCATACATCCCTCAAAGGGGCCCTTAAAGGAACCCTAAACCACTAAACCCTAAATCCCCTTGGGCCAACCTTCAAGAGCCGAGCCCCCGGACTGAAGTTTGGACATCTTTCCTCCAGGTAGCGGCGCCTGGAGCTTTGGGGTTTAGGGTTTAGGGTTTAAGGGTTTAGGGTTTAGGGTTTAGGGTTTAAGGGTTTAGGGTTTAGGGTTTAGGGTTTAAGGGTTTGGGGTTTCTTACCTTTGGCTAGTTGGGAATGGAAGAACGGTAGCACAAGTAGTAGTAGTAGTAGTAGTAGTAGTAGTAGTAGTAGTAGTAGTAGTAGTAGTCATATTTGTACTCCATTCCTCCATTCCCTACTAACCAAAGGTAAGGTTTGGGGCTTCGGAAACTTCGGGGTTTCAGGGTTGCACAAGAAAAATTCCGGGCTCTACTTATGAAAGTTTGGGGCATAGCATAAGACTTTCAGGACTCTGTTTATGAGAGTTTAGGTCATGGAGGTTCAGGGGTTCGGGGTTGCAGAAGACTCTTAGGGTTCCATTTAGGAGAGTTTAGGGTATGGGCACCTTTTAACGTCCTGTTTATCAGGGTGGCGTACTCTATTGGTATTGTTGACCCAAAAAAAGGACCCTAATTTAGAGAACTACCCATACAGGATGGCTCCTTTGAGGGGGACCATCGTAAGGTCCTGAACAAGGGCTGTATAAGGGTACTATAAGGCTATAAGGGCTTAGGATTTAGGGCTTACCTTAACCCCAACTTACCTACCTTTTTATGGACTTATATCAAGAAATCATATTGGGGGGCCCTAAAAGGGTAGGCTCCTTAGGGGCCAGGGACGGGTTAGTTCCTTTTTGGGACTATCATATAGAATTCTAAATATGAACCCAAAAAAGGAACTACTATGGAGCCTTAGTGTAAGGGCCTAGGGTTTAGAGTGAATATAAGGGCCTGATTCAGAAGCCCTGGATCTCTTCATTAGGGTTCTTTGTTGGCATACGGTAGGACTGCCGGGGCGCTGTTTATGTTCTTTTTTCAGTTTCGATGGTTCAGGGGTTTATATAGGGGTTATAGGGTTTGTAAGTCTATGAGGACCCTGTAAGAATTTAGGCTTTACGGCTTTTTCTGTGTTTTTGGTGGTTTAGGAGCTCGAGGGTTTCAACTTCGGGGTTTGGGCGATTTAGGGTTTAGTTTTTAGGGTTTAGGGTTCAGGGTTTAGGGCCTAAGTTTAGGGCTTAGGGCTTTTCAATCGTCAGGGCCGCGCTTGGCAAGGCTTTGCTCTGGGCGATCCGGGCTTTCTGGTGGCAGGTTTTCGACTTTGGGTGTGGAGGTCTTGGACTCTGACTCTCTCTCCCTCTCTCTCTCTGTGTCTCGGCTGTCCTGATCCGATCATGAGATACCTAATTACATTCCTCGCAAGCGAGCAGTGGCAATCTTGGTTTCCTGCTCAGGGGCCGTGGGGTCACGGAGGGGCTGAGGAAACTTCTCCATCGGGATCCACGCACTCAGTACCATGGCCAAGCCAAACCCGTAATCCATCCCAAGCTTCAGGAAGGTCACTGGGGTCGAACCGATGCAGCTTCGCTCAAAAGGCCTTGCCACTTCACTATGCATCCCCCTGCAGAGTCTGATGGCAGCACGTTACGATGGATTCCACAAGCCGGCCGTCGACGATTCCGACTTACCGGGTGGACGCTCGTATGCTGCGTTGATTTGTCGTCCAAACGCTGATTCATGTCTGCTCCTCGTCCTCAAGAGCTTTTGAACAGTAAGGCAGCCGACAAGCCGAGAAGTGTCTCAAAACTGCCTCAAGGGCGGTCATCTTTTTGTATTCTCTGCCTAATGCTCCAGTCGCATCTTCGTGGTTATGCGTATGTTCACCGACATCTCGCCGTCTTTCTTTCTTTCTCTCTCTCTCTCTCTCTCTCTCTCTCTGTCTCTCTGTCTCTCTCTCTCTCTCTCTCTCTCTCTCTCTCCCTCTCTCTGTCTTTCGTGGCTTCTTTCTAGCTTGCTCTTCATCCTCTCCGGAACAACCTGCTTCCCATGTTCCGCTGCAAGAACTAATTGACGGCTGGGGTCCGCAAACGGACCTCGCCAGAAGCTCCCATAAGCGCTAGCGTACCCTGAGTGACTAAACGGCACGTAGTACCCTTTAGGTTAAGGTTTCAGAAGGGACTGCAACGGGGCTTGGACCTCTCTTCGTACGGGGGAGTGGGTGGAGTAGAGGCTTTGCATTTGTTTAGGATCTCTGTCTCGCAGTATGAGGTTTCAGGCTTCAGGGTCTTCGGGGTATATTGTTTATGATAAACAGTAAGGAACCCCATGAACCAATAATGCTTCGCTCTGATTTAAGCTACATGAGTTTGGGCTCTGGGCTGTGCACCTCCAGTCCTTTTCCGCAAACGCTTTTCGCAGGCGCTTGGCGCACTCATCTGCCCTCGGCGGTTGGATTTTAGTAATGGCCTCCAAAAACCTTTTCATTAAGGAATATAAACCTTGAATTATAGAGCGACCCCCATTATGATTCAAGGTCTATTCCTGAGTTCCCTTATGGAACCCTTTTTGATCCCTTTTAGGAACCCTTTAAGGAACCCTAAGGTATACTCCTTAGGCTTTGGAGTCTTGAAGGGTCCAAGGATGTTCGAGGATTCTGTGATCATGGAGGTACTTAGAGGTTCATGGTGCTTAGTAACTAGGGTTATAAATAAGGTAACTATACTTAGAAGTGGTTCTATCCCCAATTAAGGTACCTATAACTGTACTTACTAAGTCCCATGAACCTCCAAGTAGGGCGGTTGTAGAACTGCACCCCAGCTAGACATTTGTCCTCAATCGAATCGGGGGAATGCCGATCAAAGTACATAATTATAGTACTATGCACCCCAAAACCCTGTTCTACGTATCAAGGCCCCTGTATTAGACATGTTTACTATCACATTGCCACACATCTCCGTATCTCGCACACACGAATCCTGTGCTGATCTTGAAAGCGCTATGAAACCACAGCTTCTTCCTCCTTCTTCAGGTAATACTGTGCTTCGATCCGCATCCAGAATGTAAGCATGGCCTGTTGCGATTATGTAGAGGCCTCGGTACTTAGAACCGGGATTTGGGACATACTGCTGATGGTATAAATCCTGCATTGCCTTAAGGACCCATAACTATGGGAATTCTGGCATATTCCTTATTATGGGTAATGCAGGATTTATATCATCAACCGTGTTATAACAATTTTAACTATGAACATACAGACAATGAGGAACGCTAAGGAATAGTATGGGTAATGCTTGAGGTTTCTATATATTGCGCCCGTTCGTCTAGGCGCTGGCGGGGTCCAAATTACATCTGTAAAACTGCCCCTCTAGACACTAGGGATATCGAGGCTGGAATCATTGGCACTGCAAGTCTTACAATCCCAATGTAGTTTTGGGTATAACATATACCGAAACGCTTTACTGCTTTCTCACGACCCTGCTAGTGTTATCTAAACCTGAACTGCCGAACTGATGTCACCCTAAACCAGAAACACCCTAAACCCTAAACCAGAAACCAAATCTTACCGGGGCCCGAGCCCGCGCGGCGAGGTGCAGGTAGAATTCTTCGAGACGGTGAGACTGAGCCGGTCTGGGGGTTAGGGGGTTGAGGGTTTAGGCGTCTAGGGGCTAGGGTTTAGGGTTTGGGGGCCTGACAGGGTACTATGATGACTTTAGACAGTTCGGGCACCTATTTTTTGCGACTTGCTGTAGGCTTTGAACAGCAGGCGCGATGTAGGGTTTGGGGATCTGTGGGTTTACCTATAGTCTGCATTGTCGTTCCTTTTTTTGAATTTTTGTTTAACCAAAAACTGTATTATAGGATCCATTAACCTTTAAAAGGGAACTACAATGGAGACGAGAGGTAGGTTTTGAAATACAGGTTGACGATGCTTTAGGTTTCTAGGACTGTAGAGCATTTGGGCTTGAGGATTCGGGGGTTTGGGGGGACTCTAGGCTCTTGGGGTTGCATGAACTACGTACAGGGAACTCCAGAAAGTTGGAATATGGTTTCAGGGTAGGATACCCTATAAGTTACCATAGAAGGGTTAGGATCACCATATTCCAACTTTCTGGCTTCTACCTTATTGATTGAGGTTTGGCCTCTGTAGGTTCGTGGAAATCCTACCCAGCGAGACTTACTTGCAGGACTTCTTCCTTGCCTTTATGTGGTGCAGGGCTGTGGAACCAACTTTAATCAGAAGGGGTCTGCAGTCCGAAAGTGAGAGTTACGGGTTTCGGGCATGAAGTAGTTAGTATCGGAGCTGAGATAAATCAAGAAGGGTAGGGTTTCGGTGTAAGAAGAAGCCCTGAGGAATAACTTCAGAAATCATGATGGCATCAGGCTTCTAAGGATGCAGACCTAAAAACCTGCGCTACGTACATGTAGCCCAACACCCTATGTCCTAAACTGCCTACCGGCATGAGACTGAACAGAGGCCAGCTACCGCAGGCATGGGACAGAGATCGGGGTTAAACACTGGTTTTATGCTTCCTTCAACAATGGCTATGGTGGGTATTTCTTGGGAGCCGGGGTCCTGAAAACAACCTCTGACAAGATTGACTGTTCATGACGCTTGCAGTTACAAAACAAGCTTACTCAAATGCTTATGCTTACGCTTACTCTTGCACATGCTATTGCTCTGACCCCTGCCCATGTTCTCTTGCCATGGCTACTACACTGACAGTTACTACGGTTGATGATATAAATCCTGCATGACCCATAATCAGGAATAAAAAACCATATTTCCCATAGTTTGGGGTCCTCAATAGGTAATGCAGGATTTTTATCATCAGCCGTATGACCATTACAGGGTTTGAAGGGAGACGGGCCCGTGGGCCATGCTCACTTCACTTGCTGTCCAGCTTTCTGTGCCGGGGCGAAGGAGAGTGATGATAAGCTCGCTGTTGGCCGCGTGTGGCCGGCCGTGGGCTGGGTATCTGTCATTGGGGCAGCAGCTGTCACAGGCGGCACAGGTAGGCCTGCGCTGAAAGTAGTTGGAAGGTCAAGTTGAATGGATTTGAAGCCGGCTCACATGTGGGATTGAGAACTGAAGCCACCTGTCGCCGCAATCAGGGAGTGCTGGAGCCCTAAACCCTAAACCCTAAACCTTTAACCCTCAACCCTAGACCTTTAACCCTAAACCCTAAACCTTTAACCCTAAACCCTAAGGTTCATGAAGACCAGGAAGCAGGCAGTTTCCAGAGCTTTGAAGCGGCTTCGGGCAAGTTCCTGTCCGCCCGACTCGCAGCCCCACAGCAGCAGTGCCAAGAAGAGGGTGGTTGTCAAAATTCTGGCCCCTTTTTGGGTACCCTAAATAATAGGTGCCGTATTATAATAGGGAACCAAAACTGCGGTGCCGTATTATACTAGGGACCCAAAAAGGGTGCCGTATTATAATAATACGGACCCAAAAAAACGGACCATGATTTTGACCACCACCCCCTACAGATCCCATGTAGTTAAGGAACCCCTAAACCCTATATAGACCCCTTCAAGGAACCCTATAGATATCAAAACCACCCCTAAGAGGGTGAAGCTATGATGACCCAAGGTCGACCCCAAGGACTCTTCAGGTTGGCCGACTGAGCTTCTTGAGGGCCCCAAAAAGGGCACATAAGCAAAAATCAGGATAGGGATATCCCGTATAAACCCCCTTATAATGAAGCCCAATAAGGTAGGGATATCCCCATAAAATGCTTATGCTTATGTGCTTTTGGGGGTCCCTATTCCTGCGTGTCGGACATGTCATCTTGCACCACGTAAGCTCGATGGGGCTGCTACAGGCCGCACAGGGAGACGCAAACAGCCACTGAAAAGTGTTGGTGGCTCCAGGATGCAGAAGGAACCACCACGCAACTAGACAGGCTTTCAATGTGGGCAGAGCCATGAGAGTGGCAGTGCGTGACAGTTTCGCCGGCAAGGACAGCTCCATGATCATCACGCATTGCCAGGGAACCTCGATGGCGCCGCGAATCTGGAGCGACTGTTGACATGGTGATTTCATTAATAATCATGCAATTTACTACCAATGATGCTTCCGTGGGGCTAAGCTTGCGGCTGCCCCCCCAATCGTGTCAAACTCAACTCTACTCTTGCTTAGGTTCAGGGGTTCGGAGCGCTTAGGGTTTATGGTATCGAAGCGTGCGACCACGATAGCCCCATAAGCCAAGCTCTTATATAATATCATGTCGATGTGCACTCGCGGAATCTCTGACGGGCCAATCACCCCTCGAGATGTTTAGAGTTTGGGATGTAATTAGGGTTTCGGGTTCAAAGGTTTGGAGGTTTCAGGCATTGGGGTACCAGGTCGGGAAACCTAAACACTCTCAAGGCAGGGGTCACTCTACTACCCATAGGCCCCATAGTAGTTCCTTTTGGGGGTTCATATGTGGAGTCCTATAAGGTAATGCCAAAAAGGAACTACTATGGGGCCTATGGGTATAGTATACTATGCGTTTATTACACTACGGAACCCTAGTTCTGCGCAGTTGCTTGTTCAAGGGCACCTTTGATTCCTTTAGCCCGACAGTCTCTAAGCACCAAGAAGCCCGAACAGCAACGACAAAAAACAAAACAATAGCATAATAGTGGCATCGTAAAACTATGATGAGGTTATCATAGTGGTCCAACAGCCCTAGTCCAAAATCGGCGGCCTCTTCCCGCTCCGGCGCACGTTTGGCTTGAAGGTGCAGGCCTTTGGCCCAGGGGAAGTTTGAGAGTCTGCACCTATACAAAAAGACCTATTAGCCACTGATGCCAGGGGCTTTAAACAGCCCCTTGCTAAAAGTAGAAATCTAATGCTCTAGTCTAGGGGCTTCGAACCAGGCACACTAAACCTTTGTCCTAAACGAACCCTCAATCTGAATCCTACACCACAAACCCCACTAATTTTCGGAAACTCCCCCATAAGCTGTTGGACCACGCCGTGCGAAGGCCGCACGACCAGCCCGCCCGCATTGTTTCGTTTTACCGCTTCCTAGAGCCTCACATGCGGGCGGGACCGTTCCGTCAGGGAGGCGGCGACATAAGTGGGCCGAAGAAGTGCTTGCCCTGCGCTTAAGGGTCTAAATACTCCTCATCACAGGACTTTGGCGCCTGTTTGCCATACTGAACTTAGAACCCTAGCAAAAATTGTAATTTTAGCTGTTTCTTAGGGATTATAATAACTAACAAGTATTTCTAAGTACCCCTAAGTTTGTAACAAAAACCATTAACAAGGAGAACTTGGACGCTGAGGGTTGGCAATGACCATTTTACGGACCACTTTTCATGAAGAGCACGAGAATCGCGAGGCAGTTAAACAACGCCTGCTTGAGGTGGCCTTAGACCGAAAGGGCGGTCGGCACTACTAGGTCTCACTAGGCAAAGTTGGCGTTGCCAACGGGATGCGAGTAGTGCCCAAGGCAGCTAGGGCTTAGGACGTCATTCCCCTTTCAAGTTAAACACAACCCACATACAGTTGCAAATCCCTACAATGCAAACCACAATCCAACAAGGTCAGAAAGTCATTGTACAAGTAACTCAGAGCCGCTATGACAATCCCACGACTATCCCAAACCCGAGCTGCTGGAGTAGTTTTACAAAAAAGTCCGGAGTCCTGGATCCATGGGCACAAACCCCACACCTTCAGCTTCTAGAGCCGAAACCCTAAAACCCAACACCCGATACCCCTAAACTTTAACCCCAAGCCCTTCGACCGCAAAGTCTAAGTTTCCGCTTCCGGAGTTCGGTCCCAGAGAACCCAACACCCCTCAATTAAGGAACATACCTTAAATTATAGAGACCTTAATATTATGATTTAAGGTATATTCCTTATTAAGGGATATTGGGATCTCTGAGGTTGGCCTGCATCTCCGCATCTGCTTGTTGTGAGCTCACCTGCACGGGAGGGGGGCGTCTGCAGTCCTGTCGACTGCTGGCACACTAGACCCGAAAGCTAGACCCTGTATACCACCCCCAAGCTCTGCGTGCTGGGACCCTCTCTACTTCACCTTAGGGTCGTGAGGATAATGGCGGTCCAGCTTTCTGGATTCTACCATACCCTTGAATGGTGGCCTCAGCCTCCTTCCTCGGCGTTGCTGTGGCTTCTGCTTCCTTCCTCGGCGTGGCTGCGGAGGACAACCGGGACGAACCTCGGCCAGAAAACAGCAACAGGCTCATCGAACAACTGCTTGTGAAATTGTAGTATACTGCATTAATGATTTTATTATGAGTCTCGCATCGGCTGAAACTTCTAAAAACCCTGAAAGGCAAGAGGGTCTAGGTCTCATAGGCTCTGGTTCTGTGTCTCTGGATCTGCGAATGCAGAGCGCGCAGATCGAAAGCCCTTGTGAAATCGCGAGGCGGTTTTCCTACCACAAGCTAAGTTCCCAACAAGACACGCTGATATGGAAGTTCTAGCGACCCTACAACCAAGTCGGTTCTGGTTGGTTGACGTAGGGTTCACCCTACCTTTCGGTTTGTTTGTCTATTGAAATCCCCAGCAACCCCTTAGTGATAAGGGTACCCTTTTTTCCTACTATTTGGCTTTAACAAGGGAACCCAAAAGGAACAAGGACGAAAGGGTACTTCTGGGGAACCCAGAATTCCAGAACCCAAACTAAATCGACAAGATGTAGCTTCCGAGGCCGGGAGAAAAGATCGACCCCACCGTTCTAAACCCTACCTTTGCCTACCAAAACCTAAAAAAAAGCAGGGTCCCTACAAATTCCATATTAGGGTTCATAATAAGAACCTACAAAAGGGCGGGGTTTCGTAGGTTAAGGTAGACTCCAAAACCCTAAACCCCTAAACCAGCCCAGCTCAGCCCAGCGCAGTCCAGTCCAGTAAAGCCCAGTCCCGCCAAAACAACAGCAACAAAAACCAAACTTTCGGTCAAAACCCCGGACCCAAACACCCTAAAGCCTAAACACCCTAAACCCTAAACCCTAAGCCATTTCCATGAACACCCCACCCCGACCCTGAGTCCAAAAAATAGCCGCAACTCGGATCTACTGCATCCCTAGAGGCTTTAGCTTGAGACCACTCGCAAAAGTTGCAGTTTTAGCTGGCTCTTAGGGATTATCGGAGCCAAGAGTTGAAAACTCTTTCTAACGGTTGATGATATAATTCCTGCATGACCCATAATCAGGAATATACCACAATTCCCATAGTTCAGGGCCACTAAAGTAATGCAGGATTTATATCATCAACCGAAATAGAGTCCGGCTTGAGCCTCTGAGACCCGATAGCCTGCTACATCCTTACCTAGAGGCTCCACATATAGTACCATTATGGAATTAGGTCCCAAAAGCCATGATACAGATGGTCTTTTGGGAACTAATTCCATAATGGTACTATATATGGAGCCTCTGGGTTTCACCGTAAAGCCCGGCCCTATAGGTCTTTCCAAGAGTAGGTAAAACTATTTTCCCCAACGTATAGAAGGCCGTGTTCTACATATTTTTTGGAGGGTCCAGGTAGACACCAACACCAAAAATTCTGCTCCCGGAGCCCTACAGACAGCCCTTGCCCCTTGCCACAGAAATCTTCAACGCAGACCCTGCCGTGAATTCTTCATTTCTTCGGGGTGCCTGTCCCGTCCCTTGACCTAAATCCAGAATTCTCAAACCCCAACCTCTGCTTTTCTTCTCTACCGGCTTCTTGGAAGGGCTGCGCGCGTCCCATCTTGGGCCGCTCTGAGCCCAGTGGCTCCACAAGAACAGTTGCGGGTTTGAGCACTGCGGGATTAGAGGGTTTAGGGATTGAGGCTAAACAGGGTTCACTTGAACCGCCAAAACAAACTGCTTAAGGAACTGTTTACGGTTAGGCCTTCTGAGGTAGCTTAATTAATCGAGTTTTAGGAATCTTGGAGGGTAAGCCCCAATTCGAACTCAAAGCGTGCTTCATGGATTAGTACTGGCTGCAGTCGCTATGTTACGAGGATCGAACCATTCAACTTATCAAGCCAGCGGATGCATAAGACTTATGCATTTCGGGGGTCGGGGCTAGAGTACGCGCGATACAGGGAGTAGGATTGCAAGCCTCTGAGGCGTGATCAAGGAGGCTTCTGGTTCACATATGAAAGGCTGCGCAGCTGACACGCTTGCTGCTTCGAAGATGGGACTTAGTAAGCCGTTTATAAGTAGGGTTATAGTTGGGATAACTCCATTTAGGATACTTATATCTCTGCAGCCTAATTACGCCCTACACCCCGCCAACCATGTACGAGGGTGTAAGACTACTCGGTTAGCTCCAGTTGAACATGGTCTTGTACGGCTGACGAAAGACAGCCTCCTAACCAGATACGTGTGCAAAAGGGAGGGCTTGAGGCTAAGGGTTTGAGGATTAAAGGTTTCAACTTCAGGGATATGAGAGAGTTTAATTGCTGGATCTAACTAATAGATCAAAACGGTAATGTAGGTGCCTTAATATTATGAATTTAATAGGGTCCTGGGGCAGAGTATCGTAGAGTATAGTATAGTCACACTGGGGAAGCCTGAGGAGTAATGTTAAATATCAGTACTTGCTTCGGCTTCGATAAACCAGCCTAAAGTCGTGAAGGTACGGCTGATGATAGAAATCCTACATTACCCATAAGAAGGAATATACCATAATCCCCATAGTCAAGTGCCCTTAGGGTAATGCAGGGTTTATATCATCCACACCCTAAACCCTAAACCCTAAACCCTAAACCCTAAACCCTAAACCCTAAACCCTAAACCCTAAACCCTAAACCCTAAACCTTAAACCCTAAACCCTAAACCCTAAACCTTAAACCGTAGCGACTGCTCTTTCAGGCCCTGGGTTGGTAGGGATCGAGAAGGGAGTTTCCGAAAATTAGGTTGTACCGTACCTTACTTTGGGGTCCTTATAATAAGGGTCCTACTATAAAGGGTACTGGATTTGGGTCCCCTATTTTCGGAAACCCCCAGAAGGTGGCATCAACAGGCCCCGAAAAGTGGGATGAAGAAAGCTGCCCGGGAAGTTTCTGAAAGTGTCCTTGTGATGGGATCCGCAATGCTACACCCTAAGCCCCGACGAACTCTAAGCTTGAAAATAAACTCCCTAAACCTCCGAACCCCCTAAACCCTACAAATCCCACCTGTCGAGGCCATTGAGTGGCTCCAGATGCGAGGAATTAGATGCTTGTTGCCACAGGCATAGGCTCCTTCTGTGTGTTCCTGAAGGATTGCACCACAGATAATTTAGGGGCCTTAATGACTGGAGCAGGGTCTTGGGATAAACTATGCTGTAAATAACTCTCCTGGCCCTACAGATTGGCATCCATGGTTTCATATCTTATACAGCCTATGCCAGGATCTGCTGCTGGCTGGCACCGAAAATCCACTCGCATCCAGCCGAATGGTGAGACTCATGCATGGGAGGATCGTGCCAAAACAAACCCCCTCTGCCCTTGTTGTCCAAGCCTTTCTGGGAAGCGTTCGGGCTTCGGGTATACGGTTTCGAACACCAGTGGCAAGGTTCAACAGCCCTAAGCCCAACGTTCGCACATAAATCTCCATAACAGCACTCCCCCAAACCCCTAAACCCCAAAACCCTACACCCCAAAAACCTAAACCCTAAACCCCAAAACTCTAAATCCCAAACCCCAAAACCCTAAGCCAATCCCGCAACCCTAAACGCAAGGACTTCGTGGCTTTACTGTTTCGCACGTTCATTCTTCAGGGCGCTCAAGAATTGAGGACTCGCTGTTTGAAGATGTCAGAGGTGGAGAATAGAACTGAAGAACAACTTATTGAGGCTTCCTGAAAGAAGGACATAGCTATATTGAGGCATTCATACAATAGGTTTGCATTTGCATCTCCCATCTGCTGGTTCACTAGCGACGGGTTTGATAACCCTAAACCCTAAGCCCATTTCATGCGTTCGTCTCCTCACTTTCCCATCAGGACTTCCGTGTGGCGAACGGCTGCCACATAACGGAGCAAGTCGAGGAATTCCTGTGGGTCTCCGGTTTCCGCATGTCGTTCGAGGTTGTGGGACCGATAGAATATACCTCTTACCCAAAACAGGCCTGCTTGCTAGGGATTGCAGGAAAGTCTATCACAAACGGTGTAGATCATCCTACATCAACAAGCCTTCAACACTCGCGCCTAAACCAAGGTAATTCTTAAACCCCAATACAGGCTCTAGCCTAAACTCCTTAATCCTGCGGCCTAATCCTCCCTCCTCCCCCTCCAACAAGCGGGTAACCCTAAACCGTTACAACATCATCAAGTCCGTATACATTCTGGTACTTCATTACCATAAAATGGGCTGCGCTTACGACCTTCGTTTTGGGTGGAGTTTGTAGCGCTGGATAGTGTGTTATGAGCTTCGAATACTTAATCTTCAGGCTTAGAGTTTAGGGTTTGCAGCAGTTGGTCCCAAACCTTCAAAACAAAACTGTTAACCCTCGTAGCCTTCTCACCAGAAACCACCCTTTCTGAGCACGTAGCGATTCCATGTATCCTTACGTAACACTGAATTTCTCTGAAGCGCCAAGAGCCAAAGCCTTTAAACACCAATAAGCCTGTACCTTCAAATCCCTCCTCTTACCTTTGGCTAGTAGCGAATGGAAGAATTGTAGTAATAGTATATCTATATATATATATATATATATATATGATTGTACCCCATTCCTCCATTCCCTACTAACCCAAGGTAAGTCCTCTGGTCCCACGAAGAACAACGCATCCACATCGAACTTCTTTGCCAGCTTCCGACACCGCTCCTGCGATACATGGGAGTTTCCGAAAATTAGGGATACCGTATTTTGGGGTCCTTACAATAAGGATCCTACTATTTAAGGTCCTGTATTAGGGCCCCCTACTCTCGGAAACTCCTACGTGGAGCTCTTCGCAGGGAGCCCAGTTTGCCGTCAATTGGGGCAGATGCCTTAAACTATATAGGCTTCTTGCCACGATTCTCGGGATATTCCTTGTTTATTGACAAGTACTGGGCTCCGGGTTCTGTGGCTGTTCGCTGGGGACGGGCTGCAATGGTTGGAGGGCTTCGAGCGTGGGAGTTGGAATGAAGGGGTGTGGTTCGGTGTGCAAGACCAAGATCTACCTAAAGTAAGCACGGTACTTAAAACAGTTCAGTGGGCCATGTTTATTGTCATGTCCTGTTTAAAGATACATGTAGTTAC